GAAAGGATGGAGTGTGGAAGGACGGTCAGACTCTTGTCTCGCAAGTATTTGCCCGGAAACAAACACTGCGAGTCGAACGCCCTTTTTATTGCTCGCTTCGGAATATGAGTCAACGTCTTGTAAAGACGCTATGACACCTGTTTCCTACGAGCGGTGCGATCGTCGGTCCGAATTTCGAGTCAGGGAAATCCCTTTAACTCGGTAATGGACCACGTGCGAGCTTGTTAGGGCAAGGTTTTAATGAATACGAGGTTTAATGGAGGGTTTCATAAGTGAACGAGAACGAGAAGAATAATTACTAACATTATTTATTGTTACTTGTCAAGAGATACGAATAACAGGCGGTTACATAACAATAGGCGCATTTACTATACTTAATCTATACATTTTAATCTATTATACCGCATAATCATAAGTACCGCAACAGTCTATTCAGTATGCGGATTATGTACATCGAGAGGTCGAGAGAGTCGGATGGGATTTGATCAGTCTATTTCGTGGACGGAAACGGAGGAGGGAGGGAAAAGATTATTAAAGAATCCCACTGGAACTAGAAATGCATTGGGGGAATTCGGGAGGAATACTGGAACAGTGAATGTTGAGGTTTGACCGGTGATGGCAGTTCGAATTTCTGCAGGATCAAAGTAATGAGGGCCGATTGTATAGGCCCCCCGAGGGATGGATGCGGTAGTAGTCCGCGGGAATTGGGTGATGAGTGACTCAAAAGTGTCACTCCGGAAGTAGGATCTAGGTGGGGGTGGAGGAATTTCCTCTAAGAACTCCACGCTGTCCGCTGTCGGAGACGGACTTCTTCTGAGGGAAATTAAGATCGATGAATCGGACGATTGTGTAGGAGTATTAGGAAAGATTCTCTCCGTCAGTGCGTCCGAGAACGCGGGTAACGGAGATCGAGGGGGAGGCGAAGGAGGTTGATGGGGAGGTGTTTGAGGGGGAGGAGGTATAACCTCAAGCTGATTAGCCGGCGGAGTCGGTGGTGACGAGGATGGTGGTGATGGTGAGTAATCCTCGGCCGGACGACCCTGCTTTAGTGAACCCCCGAAGTATCTCTTGAACTCCTCGTCCAAGAGACTGCGTGCCTCCCGGTAGGCCCGATTTCGAAGCCACCCCTTGTAAGGACGGTTCAAGCGCGGCACTATAATTTAGTATAAATTATAGCGGATGATTCTCTTATACACACTTATATATATATATATATATATATATATATATATATATATATAGTATATGTGTGTGTGTGTGTGTGTGTGCGTGCGTGCGTGCGTGCGTGCGTGTGTGTGTGTGTGCGCGCGCGCGCGAGTGTGTGGGTGTGTGTGTGAATGGGACTTACTGTTGTTCCGCAGTTGTGGCTGGATCTAACGACCGAAATTGTTGGTCCCAGCACTCTACGGAGGGTTGCCGATGTGGAGGCTCTGGTCGAGTCGCACAGTACGATTTCCACAACTCACTTTTGTTGACAGACCGGTAAAATCGGTAACATATGTCTATTGATGGTGCCCACGGACCGGCAGAATAATGTTGATCAGAAGGTGTTAAAATGGCACCTGTTTCTCGTGGAGGATCTCTTTTATATTAGCGAGTTAGTGGTGCAGAGGCACACGTGTGCTATTGGGCTAATTTAAGATTAGGATTAGGGATATCAGTTGTGAAATAGAATACAGGCTATGTGTCTAAGACAACTTTCGTCATCGACCATTTGCCGGATGTCCAATAGATTCGAGCCACATGTGTCATTTATTGCGGACAACTGCTGTTTTATAATTCTAATCTATTTATTCTTCCCGTTCCTCGGGATAAGGTTCGCCTATTTGGCATCCAATATTTAATCCAATGATTCTGTCCCGAATGGATTATTGGTTTGAAATGTTATTTGGCTCGTCGCTATTGTAACAGATGGTCTATCGGTATTACTGGTTAATAATTTTTATGGTGATGACGAAAGTTTTTAGTTGAAGAAAAGAACTGTGGAGTCCGGACGTAACACTATGTTTTTCTTAAAATTTATTGATTTGCCCTCGTACTTAATCGTATTATTTATTTTTTGAAATATTACATAAATATTTTATACAAAGTTTTATCTGAAATATTAAAATATTTCAGACTAAAATATTTTGTATAATATTTATGACAAATATAATTGATATTCTAGTAAAGTAGTAAATATTTTTTTATTTATAATATCTTATATTAAGTACTTTTAAAGCATTTACTACAAAATTTATAAGAAATGTTTCATAATCTTTATAATAAATATTTGTGATCTGTGCAATCTAAGACTACAAAAATATTTACAAAATATTCAAAATAAATCTTACAAATATTTTATCTTATAAATATTATAAATATTGTATGTTGTTTAAATAAGCAAAATAATGACATTATTAGTTACGCAGTACCATTTCTATAGAAAATGAAATTGTAATGAAAAAAATATATATTTTACTCTCTTAAGGCTCTTGAATCGCTGTGGCAACATTGGATCGTAACGTCATAAATGAGAAATGTTATAGTTTCTTACATACTATTTATAAATAAAGAAAGTATTAGATCGCTTCAAAACATTTGTACAAATGGACCAAAGCTATTCTTATTCTCCCTGACCTTCTCTGACAGTCAGTAAAAGGCACATAAAGTGCGTTTATCAGCGTTTGAATGTACAAATGGTAAACGCACTGTTTCAAAGATATATTACTATTTTTTTTTATTCAAATTCTTTTTATCTACAAAGGACTTGTAAGAAACTTCAACGTATAATTTCTCGCGTATCCACTGTTGTCGCAGCAATTAGACTCAGAAGTTTTAAATTAAAAATAAAAAATATGATTGAAAACGAGATCGTTTATATTAAAACTTGAAATACGAAGCGCCTTACCGGTCCGAGTGTTAAGATATTGAATTACTACTATATAATATACATTCATTTGTTTCAAATTGAATTAATTTTCAGAAATAAATTACGAGCCGATGAAATTATCGGATTCTCACAATCAATCTGAAACAAATAATCTCCCCAAAATTTCCCAAATCTTGAAAAACTGTAATAAACTTATTGCGAAAAATATTGCCTCGGCTGGGAATCGAACTCGGATCTCTTGCATTCCGTGCGAGCGTTCTAAGTCTTTAGACTACCGAGACCTTAGCAACATTCTTCGCAATAACCGATATGTATAGAGAGTTACGCATGCAACTGCTATATAATATACATTCATTACCGATAATTTAAGTTTTAAAAATAAAAAATTATATACGGTATATATTTATATTGTATATATTTCATATTTTGTTTCTTTTTTATAGAAACAATATGCAAAGTGCATAACACCTTCAGGGAGGCAGAATTCGATGCTATAGCTTCGGAGTGGCTTCGGTTTGCCAAACAACGAGCTGGACACCAGACACAAAAAAAAACAGCAATGCCAGCAGTATCAGCGGCACCTCAATAGCACAAATAGCACAAATAACAGAAAAAAAAACAATTGAATAACCGCAAATGATAATTTTACTCTCTTACAGCATTTTTTTTGTTTAATTTACTAAAATGTTTATTTCTCTACAAACGTTTGTTTTTGTGAAAGACAAAATTTATTTTTAATTTAGACCATAGATCATAGAAATGTGATAATATAGATAACCGTAACTGATGATAGTCTTTTTTATTTAATTTAATGAAGTATATTATATATTTATACTTTTATAAACGTTCTATTTTAAAGAAAGTGAAAAGTTATTTTTAATTTGTATACTGAAATGTGATACTATAATATAGCAATAAAAAGTCCAAATATAATATTCTTATAAAATATATATAATACAATGTAATAATATATTAGTTATTTTTACAATAAATGTACTGTGTCTTTTTAAAAAATACATATGTATAAGATACAAAAAATGATAATAAATTTTATTATTAAACTTTCTCATGTAAAAACCTATTAAATGCCGAAAATACATACTATTTAAAATTAAAAAAAAATCATAATAGCTTTTTAAAATTCCAAATAATATATTTTCAACTTAAATAACCTGTTATATTCGGATTTATAAATGTTACATTAATGGTATACAATGCGTTTGCTGGGCATATTCTATAACAAGGTATTGTTTTATAAATAAGTATATATCTTGGACATTATATATGCTAGTATATATTATAATATGTGAGATAGTTACACATAACATCGTATAAGAAGTATGAAAAGTTCCGTGACGGCAAAATATCTCAAAAACTATAAAAACTAAAAAAAAATTTTAGATAAAGCATGTAAAATTTGATAAGATCATTGGCTTCAACAGTTTGACTTAGAATGGTGTCATCAAAATCAGGACATAATCTGGGATTTTTTTAAGTGCCACCCTTCACTTTTTCTTTCACATTTTTATACAATAGTTATCATTGAGATCTTTCCAAAGCACTATATTTTCATACATTTTGAGTCAGCCGTTCCGAGATAATTGAATATTTTAGAGTAAGATATCGGCAACTACAGGCGCATTAAAAATGAAATCTATTCATTTTTCATATTTATATGTTATATATTTTGTTTAGCAGGTCATAAACTACAACATATGAGAAAACCATTTTACTTCACTGGGAGTCAATTTCTGATAGAATTTGTACTGGATTCTTTATTAAGAATGGAAGAAAAAAATCTACGTAGTCAATACTTTTTCATTTATACGTGTATTGAACATCATTTAGCATTAAATTAATTAGTTATAAGCACCATCTTATTATATTGCATTCTTTTTTGTTCGTTTCTTGTTCTATTTGTCTTCACTTTTCAATTGACATTGATACAACCTTTTAGAAAAACTCTCAAGATCAAATAAAGTACGTCAACTTTCATTTCTTTCAAAACAAAGCAGCCTTTGTTTGAAAAATTTTTAGGGAAGGTCATTATTTCCAAAGTATTTAATTCCACCTTTAAAATTGAGACACTATACTCGTAAATAAGAACCACATTTATGTGCATACATACCTAGGAAACATTTCCTCAACGCATGTGTTCAAAATAGCAACTTCTTCTTGAAGCTTTTCTTCTAATTCGAACTTCATTTGTTCATATAATGCGGAGCTGCGATCTATGATCGGCTTGATACGTCTTAACCATTGAATTGTTGTATTGTTCAATTCAATATGATGTTTTCCCAGTGTAGTCATTCCAATTAATGAACTCATCATACGAACCGAAAGAATTATTTTTTCCTGTAAATCCATCATTATTGTGGATGTCGCTGTCAACATATATCGTCCTGCAATTAAAAATGTGATCATTATTAATCAATCCTTTTAACATTAAAAAGAGCAATGTTACATATAATATATAAGAATAATAACAAGAGAATTTAATTTTTTTAAGAACGTTGTAAAAATCAATAACTGATTTACTATTTATATTTATTAGTACTTGAAAAATCTGAAAATGTCATGAAAAAATACTATTTATTTTTATTGAGAATACAGAATATTGCACAATTAATATAAAGAAAGAGTTAGAACTAGTAAAAATTTTAAAATAAGTATTGAAGATAAAACGGCAATTATGAGTCAAGGTTGTTGAAGCACAAAATTTAATGTCCTGATGACACAGCTCTATTCATAAAACATCTATTCATTAAAACTTTTCAATTAATTTTTGAATCATCATCAGATAATATAATAATCTAGAATATTAAATATTTAGTCATTTATGATTAAGTGATAAGCAATTTCTTAACAAAAAAGATGTTGCAATGGTGTGACGATTATATTGCTACGACTCCGAAGAGCCGAATGTATATGCACAGACACAGCACACAAGTACACTACTTACAAAAATTAAAGGAACACTTAATTTTTTATAAGAAAATAAACAAAATTTGGACAGTTGTACCTTACCTACTGCCCTAACCTACTCGTCAAAAATAAACAAAATTTAAATTAAAAAAAAATTTTAAAGCTTGAAATCTGTATTTTTGGAATCTCTATTTATTATTTTTCACCATGTTTTCTTATTTTATGTGAGTTTAGTAATTTTTGCACCTATAAAACTACGAGCTCAACTAAATAAAAAATCTAAATAAAAGAGAGCATACAGTCACAATACAAAACGTCTTAAGCGAAAGTCATATATATTAAATTATAATATAATAATGTAAACTTTTCGGTCAAGATTTAACCATTATCAGTACATACCAAAATAAAGATCTTAAAAATAAAAACATAAAATTAAACAATCAACTCTAGTCAGAAAAGATTGTAAAAACAATTTTCAATTCGCTTATGGTATGAGATAACAAAGTAATTTGACAGAACTTGAAGTCGAACATGACTTAATCGCTAATGAATTATTTTCTATTACACGTAGGATTCCTTATTACAAGAAGTAAAGTGCGATTCCATGTGGCAAATATGGAATTTCCAGATTCTAATTAAATAAAAAAAAAAATTTTTTCAAAACTATTACTTTACAATATATTCTTATTCGTAAGAATTAATTTAGTTACATAGTAAAAATCGCTTACCACTATTTTTCGACACAAACTCTTGCAAGTGCAATTCGGAGTTATAATAGTATAAAGTAAACAAAGAATTGGAACTTTTTTAAAGAACTATTACTGACAAAAATGTGAAGGCACATAACTGGCAAACAGTTTTTATAATTGAAAGAAAAGGAGAGGGAAGAAAAGTGGAGAGGGATATTCTATTGATGAGTAGCGTGACTTTTTCCAACAATTAGTAGGTAGATTTCTGGAAAGTTCTGTGTCACTCTGTTTATTTAAACCCATTTCTTGTCTTTTGATGTATATCATTTCGGAGACCACCCTTTCATAACAAGATTGTTTGCAGCTTTATGTTGCTACATATTTTCGAAATTATTTTTAAATAACAACAACTTTAATCTGTTATTAATAGTTGCGAATAAAAATTCCAATGGGTATCCATTTCTTAGCAGAATATTAATTAAGGAAGTAATATTATTTTCATGAAATTTAGGATGAGAAAGGAATAAGATTCTGTCTAACTGCTCGATTACAACACTTTTTTTGTGCATTAAAGGATGATTTGATAAGAAATTCAAGTATCTATCCGAATTAGTAGATTTCTTATAATTGTCAAAAATAATCACTCCATCCTCTATTAACAATCTTACATCGAGAAAATTTATTTTTCTGTTATCGTCATATTCGGCAGTAAATTTAATTCTTTCATGGTAATAATTAAAGGAGCGCAAGATTGTATTAATATGATCTTTTGGAGCTGCCATAATAGTGTCATCAACATAGCGATAATAGAATGGAATATGTGTGGTTAGTGTCTTAAATATGTTAAGTTCCAAGTTTTGTACAATATTACAACATCAGCTAGAATCGGAGAGAGTGAAGATCCTATAGGAAGCCTGAAAATTTGTTTGAATATTTTATCATTGAATTAAAAAAATGTAGGGTTTAGAATAATTGAATGAGATTGCTATTCAAAATTCGTGGATAGAAATTGTCGTATTGTTGCAAATCAGATCCTATTTTTTCAAGATATTTTTCAAAGCTAAATCGTTTGGAATATTCACATACGTGGAAATAATATTAAATGATACAATTTGATAGTCTTTTTCTAGTCGCATACCATTTATTTTTTTATCCAAATCAAAACTATTTTTAATATAATCAAATTCTTTATTAATGCTTTTATCGATGATGTCTTTTAAAAAAGTAGACAAATTAAAGAAGGGACTATTAATGCAATTGACAATCATTCTCAAAGGATCACTTTCTTTATGAACTTTAGAGAGCCCGTAAGATCTCGGCAAATCTCCATCTGATATATACAATTTTTTATACGTGGATTGATCAATATAACATTTAGTTCTCCAACGTGTCAAAAGTATACGTATTTCCGTTGTCAATTTATTAGTAAAATCTTTTGTAACAGTTACGTAAGTTCAAATTTTAAATTATTAGAAAGTGGGTAAAAGTTTAACAAAGATTAAAAATAAAAAGCATACAGCCATAGCTCAGAGTTTTTATTCTATTTTTTATGGTCTTAAATACAAATTGTAGAGGATACCCGTTGCGGAGGAGGGTGTTGATTAAGGATTCGATGTTAGTGTGATGGGATAGGAACATAATTTTGTCAAATAATGTAATCACCACTCCCCTTTTATGTATGATAGGGTGATTAGAGAAAAAATTTAGGTATCTTCCCGAATAAAAATGCGTACATGCGAATGTTACAATCATCCTTCGAATTATATATTTGATTGACCTAAATGTAATTTTTAGTTACGTATATTGAGTCGGACTAATTTGTAAAAATAGGAAATATTAAAATTATACTATCTGTCAATTTGTTATTTGTAAAAATATGTTCTTTGTTTAAACTTAACGGATTTATGTACTGAAGAAGGTCAAATCTTGACCGAAATATCTACATGTTAAAATAATATTATAATATTGAACGTATTGACATCTTAGTTACGTAAGTATTATTATCGGCTAAAATTTCGTATATTTTATCATTGTCATCCTTTAAATTTAAAATTACAATAGTATTGCCCTTATCCCCTAGTAATTAACACATCAGGATGATCAGCAACGAATTTATTCAGTTCGTTGAGCCCTTTTTTTATCAAAATGTTATTAAAACTATTCGGAAATCTAAAATGTATATTTTTAAGAATAGATATAGCATCTTTCTTAATTAAATTCGTGTTTCTTCGTCTAATTTAAATAAATTGTTTTCAATATGTTTGATATAGTCTATTGTTATTTTTTTCTTTATTTATAACATTATTCGGTAAATTAAAACGTTGACCTAGTTGTAATATGAATTTAGAGTTTTCAGGAATATTAATATTGCTATAGTTCAACCAGTTATTGTTTATGTTATTTAATCAGAAACAAATTTTTCCGGACTCACATTTATGTGATGTGTAACAATAGAATTATTCGCACTAACGTTCTGTGTTAAAATTTTATTAATTTTAACTGGAATAAATTTATTATGATAATTACTAATAAATGGTTTTGTAAAGACGATGTTATAATTAATATTTCTAATATTCTCATTTTGAGTACATAATTTAGCCGATATTAAATTATCTATTTTCTTATTCATGTTATAATTTTCTTTATCTCAATTTTTGTTGAAATTAATTTCTTGACAACGGAAAAATGCACAATTAATACTAAAAGGAAGAGAAACATTAATAAATCTATAATTAGTAAAAAGTTCGTATTGTAATTGTGATATTTGTCTATATGCATCATTCAGTTCTATACGTAATAATTTTTGGATAAAATATTATAATATTTTATCCGATTTATTCTTTGTATAAAAGAACTATGATGTATAGTGATTTTATGTTGCAAGATTTTTTCAAATGTACAGGAATAAGTTTTTCATTTAAACATATTTTTAAAAATTGAATCTACTCTTAATTTTGCGTTTGATTTCATAAGTCTTATGTACGAGGTCTGGCTATTAAATAACGAGACTGCTTATGAAAAAGAGTTTTATTTTAAAAATTATTCTACAATTGAATGCTCCCCTTCAATGTACTCCCCTCCCCTCGCCACACACCGTTTCATTCGTTTTTTCCATTGGTCAAAGCAATGCTGGAAGTCTTCTTTTGTAAGAGCATTTAGGAGCTCCGCCGATTTTTGCTTCATCTTTTCCATCGACTCGAACCGGATTCCTTTTAAGGCAGACTTGATCTTCGGAAACAGGAAAAAGTCACAGGTTGCTAAATCAGGCGAGTACGGCGCGTGTTCGAGCACTGGAGTGCCTCTAGCGGCTAAATAACGCTTCACAGACAGCGCGTTATGGGCAGGTGCGTTGTCCTGGTGTAAGATCCACGACTTGTTTTTCCACAACTCCGGCCGTTTCTTACGAACTC